TCACTTTTATTCCCACTTTATTACACTTTTACCCCTTCCTAATTTTCCCCTTATTTCCATTTGTACTTCCTTTGTACTTGAGATGTTCGGTTATTCTGATTTTAAATTGTTTATTATCAACATCTTAAAATGGGTCTCTATTCGCATTGTTCTAACTTGATACGATATTACAAGGTAATTGAATTTATTTTAATTTATTTGTTACTAAATTAACAAAATGGATATAAGTGACTTTCGTTGTAGTTTTTCATTATATTAATTTCAATTTATTGCCTTGTGAATTGATTGATTTACTCTTATATTGTATTCTTTTCGTTATTTTTCTTTTTTTATTATCATTATTTTTATCTATTACTGACATTGTTTTTATTACTATTCGATTAATTGACTCTTATATTGTATTCTTTTCGTTATATTTCTTTTTTTATTATTTTTATCTATTACTGACATTGTTTTTATTACTATTTGATTAACTGACTCTTATATTATATTCTTTTCTTTATATTTCTTTTTTTATTATTTTTATCTATTACTGACATTGTTTTTTTACTATTTTATTTAGAAATGTGAAGTCACAATTTACATTATTTGATGTCTTGCTTTGTTGATGGACTCTCGACATTTTGCGCCGATATAATTATGTCTTCAATAGCGAGTGAGATTGAAAATACCCATATTACAGAATTTTTATACATGTTTTTTTCGTATTTGATTATGTATTTGTTTTAATTTTTATAATATCATTGTACATCGTTAACGATAGTTCTTAACATTGAGAATGACTTAATTAAGGTCGAAACGTTTGTTTTAGAATTTTATTAAATTTTATATTTATTTTTAATTAATGACTGTTTATTACTAAGACCTTTATATTTTAACTAATATTTGGCTCGTAGCCCTATTTTATATTAATTATTTTTTAAATTTATTGAGCCTTGTTATATACATATTTTTTAATATATTTCATGTTTTACTATTTAACACGTTTTCCATATCTTTATACCTTCTTTATAAATAAAAATCTTAAATTCTATTATTTATTACAAGAACATTTTAATCACGAGTTTTAACACAGGTTTTTTCGTTAAAATATTACATCATTAACGACTTACTGTAAATCATAATATTTATATTGTAAATATAATTGTAATAAGTCTAATGTAAAGTCTTACATTTATTATTTCTTATATTTATATCTGATCCACCAATCTCTGATAATAAATCTTCTTGAAGAAGATGTGCGTAAAATTCTGAACACGTAACATGCTTTAGGTTGAATTGCACTAACATTATTCCTTTTACTGATTCTAAAAGCAGTCGATTTCTTTCATCAGTCTATTGACTTGGTATTAACTAGATATTCACGAACTCGGCTAGGGCATTTAAGAGAGAGAAGCTGAGTGCAAAAAGTGTAAAATCGTTCTCCAGTTTCAAAAGTAGTAAAAAAAGAGTACACATAGAAAACCCGCCCGGACGCCCGCAAAAAGAGTACATGTCCGGAAAAAAGAGTACGGATGGTCACCCTATATAATATTCACTCTTTAACATATCTTCAGGGAACGGAAAGTTACTTTTTAAAAGTAACTAGTTACAGTTACTCGTTACCGAGTAAAAAATGTAACTAGTTACAGTTACAGTTATCGCTTTTTAAAAGTAACTCGTTACAGTTACCGTTACTTGAAAAATAACTTTTCGTTACTTTTCCGTTACTTTTTTAAAATCAATTAAAAAATGTATTTTTGCATTTTTTTT